GGATTTGTGTGGATTAACCAGCAGATTTGCTCCCATGTGATAACATCCATATTATATATATATTGGTTCTCAGAGGCCAAAAGTGTATAAAAACAAAAATATTTGTTTATTTACAGAAATTAAGCATAAGACAGAAAAAAATATTTATTACATTTAAAACAACACACTCTGGCACATTCCTCTCTAGCTAACTCAAGACTCTTAAAAGCCACTCATTTGTTTCTAAACCTTGCTAATTCTTAATCAGATATCTTCTTTATTCTCTGACACAGACCATCCATACCTTACCTTAATCTGAACTGTCTAATTAAATACAACATCAATTAATTGGCATTCATTGGCCTTATGCAAATCTCATCTAGCATCCCACCCAGGGGTAGGCAACCTTTCCCCTTTAAGGACCGAGGGACTTCAGCTCCCAGAAGCCTCAGCCATGTTGGCCAATAGTCCCATGTTGGCCAATAGCTCCTGGGATTCTGGGAGCTGAAGTCCCTCGGCCCTTAAAGGGGAAAGGTTGCCTACCCCATTCCCACCAATCAGCATTCACTTCAACATTCCATTCTCTTGCCCCTCCTTACTTCATACTCTATTATACAACCAATAAATTAACTAGTATTTCTTAACACAAGTCCCTGATATCACATATCTTCCATAGGCTTGCCTCTCACGCTGCTGGCAATAAGGTTGCAAGGTTTCCAAATTATCTTTTTTCTGTGCTGGCCAGTCACTGATTTGTTAATTGCTAAGCAAGGTTCATAAAATGTATGCATTAATACCTGCTAACCTACTTTGCAGCTTTATGGGTAACTTCATTCTAAGTGGTAACATCTAGGCCAGGGACGGAAGAACTCAGTATGTAAGCTGCCAGGTTAAAACAATAGTTCTGTGGCATCAGACAGACTCATCCATTTTATGATCATCACTTCCCAATTGTCAACTCCTTATGTCATACATTTTGACTGTTCCTTATTGCTGTTTTGAAAACCTGGCAACCCCAGTGTGAGTACACTTGATAACCAGACTGTTATAGTTACTCTTTGTAGTTGCGTGCCTTCATGCTGTTTGTGACTTATGTAAACTCTAAGGCAACCCTATCATGGGATTTTCCTGGCAAGATTTATTTAGAGAGAGTTTGCATTTGCCCTCCTTTAAGGCTGAGAGTGTGTGATTTATCCAAGGCCACCCAGTGGGTTTCCATGGCAGTATGGGGAGTCAAACCCTGGTCTCCCACTGCCCTAATCCTGTGCTCAAACTACTACACCATGCTGGCTCTTCCTTTGTATAATACTGTAATATTCTATGCCATATCAATTTTGGCACAGAGGGGTTTTTTTTGCCAATTAAAACTGAAGTGAGAAGTTCCTCCTACCAACATTTTACAGGTGAAAAGAACAGTATGTTACATTGTCAAGATGAATATTCTGTATTGAGCTAGAAACAAGCCGTTTCAGAGGAAGGAGGGAGATGAGAGATGCCACCCACATTGCCAGCTAAGAGAACATTTTAGATGGCTTCAAATCAAAGCCTGGAAAAAAATAATAATTTGGGGATGAGAATCCCCTAGGTTAGCATGGCCAGTGCAGAATCTGTCAGCCAACGGCTATTCAGTATGTATTCTAGACTTTTCCCCACCTGCAGAAGAAGCCAGGGATTTGGTCCCAAGGAGATGCAAGGCACCTAGTACTTGTGTTATTCTGTGTAGATGTGCACAATCTGGCCACTGTGTAACCCTGCTCTCCTAAAAGCATTGTCTGGCTATAGAGTGTGCTAGTGTTCATGGGACTCACTATTGTTCTATCATGTGTAGAAGAGTTATTGCAGTGGTTTGATGTGCTACAACTTGAGAAGCCCTGATTTCCCCAGCTTCCAAGGCACTAGGCTCCAGCGTGGCTGTGTTGTGAGTAACTATCCCAAATAATGTATGGTACCAGGTTGGAAGGCAAAAATATCCTCTGATCAAAAAGATACTCTGATATACAAATATCCTGTAATCCCAGTACAAGATCTTCAGACATGCGAGTGCTTCCTATTCTGTTTTGTATATGGGAAAACTAGGAAAAGGGGGAACTGTGAAATCTTTTTTGTTGTTGCGTGCCTTCAAGTCATTTTCGACATATGGCAACCCAAAGGCAATCCTATCATGGGGGTTTTCTGGGTAAATTTCTTCAGAGGGGGTTTGCTGTTGCTGTTGATTTACATGGCCAAGCCAGGATTTGAACTCTGGTCTCCAGAGCTGTAGTCCAACGCTCAAACCACTATGTCATGCTGGCTCCAACTGTGAAATAGGTAAAGGAAGAATAGAAGTAATCAGGAAATTAAGAGAGTGATAAAAATTGGAGAAGGAAAAAAAAGAACTGTTTTTCTTTTATATATTTGAGAACGGAGATTTCCTGTATAAGTAGTGGCTTCATGGGCTAATGTCCATATTCCCCATGATGCCCATCTAGCCTTCTCTGCCTTGGACACTCTCCTTAACCTGGATTTCTTAGTGTGTTGATCATATACCTTGAGCAGGGTTGCAAAGGGGTCCTCGGTTAGAAAGCCCTCAGCCTTCCATGGATTAGGTCCCTTCCTGAGGATCCATTTTTGCAACCTATCCTGGGGCTGCTCAGTCTTAACCAGATTATTGTCATCGGTGTGTGGATTCATGGTACCTCCTACTGTGGTGGGAGAAATTACGGAGTCTGAATGTCCTCTCCTAGCCAATTTTAATGCCCCTCTCTGTCCTACAGAGAAGTGCAGTCCTGGGGACCTCCCTGAGATCTCCGCAGAACACCTAAATCCAAAACTCTGGGT